GTAAGGAGGGACGAAAAACAAAGGGGAGGCGCTAAGGTTTGCGGTAGGCGTCTGGGTTTGGGAGGGGGAAGGGGGGAGGTCGACATGGTGAAGGTGGGAGGGGGATGGGGGGAGCGGGACGGGGGGAGCGGGATGGGGGGAGCGGGACGGGGGGAGCGGGATGGGGGGAGCGGGATGAGGGCCGGGCATCTGTCTGCAGCAGTTGTGTGTTTAAGGTATGTGCCGTATGTGGGGGAGGGCGTGGATACTTGTCCTCCAGCTGTTGACAGTTGGAGGGGAAGTTATTCCGAAAAAATGCACATCAGGGAATGAAGTTGCATTTTCTGGGAAGCGCTGGTAGGCCACGTCATAGATGCCGTGCATTTAACCAATCATACTGTGTACAGCTAAAAAACAATGTGGATCACAGCAATGAACATTTTTCGCTTCAGGCTGGAGAAACAGAAGCACTTAAAAAGGAGCCAGCTGCCCCTTCAATTACCGCAGCTAGCATCTACTACCTGCGAGAGAGCCATGTCTGCATTCGCCACCGCGCCAAAAGCCGCCACTCCTACCCCCTGAGCACCTCGCAATCCGCCCTGCCGCAGCTCTCACGCTCTCCCTAGCGCATGTACCTCTCCACCAGGGCGCCACCCAGTAGCGAAGGGCACACGCGTGACACCTCTGCCCAAATATACACACGTATCTGACGAGGAGGACGACGCCAGGGCCCTGGCATGACTAAAGAAAAACAACGATCTTTTCACTAGAAACGGATCTACAGAAAACCCCTATTAGGGCTTGTTTGTTATAACTGCATATAACATGGCTTTCACTACTATGTCGCGGATCAGATGAAGAAAGATAGGGTTAAAGTAAGAATACTCCATCTGCGTGAGAAGGAACAATTTCGGCCCCTACATGACTTTCATCTTCACCACTTTGCATTTCGCGTGTAGAAAATACATTAGTTTTGTCGATCGACTTCAGATTGATTTTTGCGTACTCACGATCATTCATTCTGAGAGCCTTAGTGTCAAGAACTCTCTTCATAACTGAATATCCAGGTAGAAATGACGAAAGCTTGGAAATACCGCATGTAACATCGTCTGGAGAGAGGTTTCCAAAGATGATGGAATCGTTGCTTTGACGGTCGTCAAGGGTGGCCTCCATAAAATCAGCCACGAGCGAACGAAACACTAATGCAACACACCTAATGCTGCGTAAGGAGTTCTCGTGACCACGCAAAAAAGCCGCTTGCTCTTCACAGTGACAAAACTCTACCAGGAATCGAGTGGAAACGTCAATCAAATTGACTGCTTTTGTGAGCCTACGAACCTCACCTCCTCTCCTCTTCCTTGTGTTTGCGCCCTCGACAACCAGCACGTCATGTTCAACAACGAAAACCATATCGAGTCTGTCGACAACCAACTTTCGCATCCGACCGATATTGCCGGCGTCAACTTCGCTAGAAGCCTGAGAGCTGCGTATGGTTTTTGGGACATCATTAAGAGACTCAATTTCGAAATCATTTCCAGGGTATGCCCACCTGATCCTCAAAGTTGCTTGGCTTGCATCAGAATTGAAACTGTCCCAGTCTACCATCAAATACCCTAATTCCTCTGCGAAAATTGCTTTGCACCTTTCGCGTCCATCATGCAAAAAACCAGTTACAAGACTGAAATTTTTTTTTGCGCCGTGGAGTGCAATGTCACGCTTACAGGGGGTGCTCTTTACCACTGTCTTTCGCAGAATCAGCTTGTGTCCAGATGCACCAATGCGACGGCATTGGTTCCCGCGGGACTCTGGCACTGTTTCGAGATAAGCGCGAGCCTCTGAAACATCATCACCACGGATGAGACCCCTTTGAAGCCATCTTGGTTGATCAATTTTTCTGCACAATGTCGCACTTCTCGGCGATTTATCCACCTCACATGTGTCACATTGACCATGACGATTCCTTGCGCTGTGGTCACATGTGGCTGGCTGACTTCGACTTTCTGGGGATCTCAAAGTAGCCGTAGAGTCACCTTGGCCGTTGATTTCGGCCTCACCATCCCTTATGGAGTTGAAAACTCCAAGTCTATTATTGTGCAAGTTCACCAAAAGTGTAAGCACGAACGACTGTCTGAATTCGCAATGGCGGAATCCCACCCTCTTATGGAGAACATTTCGAGGCTGGTTTGGTTGCTTTCCGAAAATGATCGTTTCTAATGCCGTGGAACAGTTGTGAAGGAGCTGTCCAGAACCCCCCGCAATTTTGAATATTGTCACAGCGACATTAATACAAGCAATCCTGGTTAGAGCACCGCTTTTGAACACGTAGTCCGCATGCGGCGTCAGTTGATCGAGTTTTTCATTCCAAAGTGACAGAGAAGTTCTCGCTGAAGATGTCGATTTTGTGCTAGCGCCCAGACTTCGAGTCCCTCGAATTTCTTCGAGTTCTTTCTTGATTTGTTTTTGCTCCTCCCGTAGATCTGCAATTTTAGAGCACACTCGAGACTCGAAGCCTTTCATGTGATTCACAAAATCTTTCTCCATGCGCTTGAATATACCAAAAAGATATGCATTTGAAGCGGTCAAACTCGGAGGGACGCAATCATTCTCCTCTTCTCGACAGGATTCTGCTCTTGCACATTTAATATGTTGATTATCATCGTTAGGAGCAGGATTATGATCATCATCACTTCCAAGTTTCCCATCGCCTCTTAAAGTTTCTAAATCAGCTGATGATCGCGATGGGAGATTATGCGAACAGGAGACCCATAATCATCATCACTGTGGAGAACATTTCTGTTTCTCTGCCCTGCTCTATGACCAACGGGGCCGTTGGAACCCGATCGACCTCTCTTTTCTGTCGCTATCACAGAACATCTCTCTTGTAGAAAATCCCGCTTCGATCGATGGGCTGAGTTACTTTTTTGAGCAGGATTTGCCTTTGAGATACGCTGAGAAGGATTAGCTCGTCGAGAGACCAGAATACTTTTCTCAACACGCGACTTCTTTGTTGCCGTGTCGTCCATCCGGGATGTATGCTTCTCCAAATTGCGTTTCCCAGTGGA